CTCAGAGCTTGACAAGAAGTAAAAAGGCCATGTCCGTGTTTCTCATGCATCATGGAGCTGTATCAAAAAAGGCCGCGATTGGCGCCCTCTTGAACAACACGCTTTTGGACACTCTCCAATTCGCTCAACGTCTCATCTCGCGCTGCTCCGTTCTTGACACCCCATCCTTACAGGTACGAGCACACGGACAGGCACATTTCCTTGTCTACCTACCTATCACAGCCAAATGCCTCTGATCCCCAACAAAAGCCCACATGTTCCGCCCCAGTTCGAATAAGATCGCAAAAATTATACATGGAGCATAGAGGTAATAACCTAGAACGGTTCAGGTTCCCTTGTTCGGGCCGTCAGCGCTGCAGCGTCACATTCCGGCTTGTCAAATGCTCGAGAATGCCCCCGAAGGACAGGGATTCCATCGCAGTCGCGTGCACTATTGCCCTTGAGCAAGCATTTGCGATAGCCGTGGATATCGATCAATGAAGGACACCTGCAGCTCGCCAATTTCAGCTCCAGGCTCGCTCCGAATGCTACTCTGTAATATCAACTGGACTGAGAGCTACTCGTGCTGCCACGATTCTGCCGCCCCATTTCCCGAGTTGTCAATTTTGACATCACAAGGCACAAGCGGGATCCATCTTGCAGTGGGACATCTCTTGGGTCAAAGTCTAATCCTCGTCGGTTCTGGATGCGCCTCTGCCGCCAAGTGTCCTGAGTCAGAGCGTGTGCGTGGGTTTGTTGCTATATCCATTACGAGACGCAAACCTTTCATACCACGACTAATCAAGGTTTCTTTTGATGCGGCAAAAGACGCCCTGAGACCTTTTAGTCTCTCGCTTGCCTGCAGGTTCGCATGTGGAGAAGGTACCTACTGTAGGCTGACGTTCTGCTAGGTGTGAAAACTCACTCATTGAGATCTGTTTAAAGCCGCATCTTGGCAGACCCAAATTACAGAGTCCCATCTGATATTGTCAGAAAATGAATGAATAAAACCCCCCTGCTAGATTAGAGAAACGGAAGAAGTCACATACCAACTTGGAAGTGCTCCATACAACGTAGGGGTTCTCCGTCCCCTTTTCCTTTACTTACTTCTCCTCTCTTCTTCCATTTACTCAAGACCATAATACAGGATCTTCTGAGTACGCTAGATCTTTGAAACGCACCAGACCTTACGGCTAGGCAATCCCTGAGACGCACCACGCAGGTTCAAATACGGAGTAAGTGGTGGATAAACAGGTCCTACGCACCGAGCCAGGAACAAGCCGCCCACACGCCGGGCCTAGCCGCTTGAGCTTGGAGAGAATAAGCAGGAGAAAATGCATCAAAATGGCCAACAATGATTTTTCCTTCTTTTTTTTCCTGGCATTTCTGTTGGCTGCGCAACCGAAGCCTGTTTGGTGCTGGTGTCATGAGTCCAAGTGGGTGCTGCGGTAGACTTCGGCATCTCATGGAACAAATGGAACCCTTCCACGGCTTCGTTGGACAGGGATCCAGCAGCCACGAATCCATCAGCCACGAGAGACATTCACTCTTCGTCCGCTTTTTCTCACTGCGCTAGCGGTTGCAAAAGTCTTGGCCGGAGATGTTGGACCCTTGATGCATCTCACGGCCATTTGTTCCCACACATGGTGCTGTCGATCGTCGCTTCAGTATCGCCGACCAGCGGAACTCCACCTCGGCTCCTCGCCAAGGTACTCGTACAGGAATAAACACATGTCTCTGTCTATTCCGTTTAGCCGAAAGCCGATGCTTTCTATATCCCGAAGAGTACCTTTCCAATGATGTTGTTCGGCATGGGGTAGGTACCTCTGCTTTAGCCAAGCACCTTGCTCACAAGTACTTTGCCACATTAAGAGCAACAGAGCTTCAATCCATACTTGTACTGAGGCCGTGCTTGAGCTACTGGGCCAAGCATCCATTTTTAGAACAAGAGGTCCGAGAGCACCTCTAAGAGTGTAACTACTGCTGCGCTTGAGCTGGCATATTCAGTCCGTGCGATGATAGACTCATGGTCCTGAGGGGCGTTGTGTGATCATGGCGCTCGACATGCTCTTCAATGGTGAAAAGAAGGGGCTACTTTTGCCATTTTCTCTGATACAGCCTACCACATGTATCAGTTATTTGTCGATGATAATGTGATTAGTCCGTACAAGAAATAGCGTGCTGGCGTTCACACCGGGTCGCCATCGTAAGGTCTCCCTGACGATAACACACAACAGGGGAGGTCTGTCAGGCCATTGGCTCACGAATCTGCATATTATTCTCGATTGGGCAGGAGATTCTGCGCTTGGTATTGCTATTCACGATTCGATGGCAGTCTGATTAACATCGGGGCTAGTCGCTGGGAGTCTGTCAGAAATTACACGAAGCCAGCGGATCTGCAGATCTCGATTCTTAAGGGTTCTCAGAACAAGGTTATTCGCATGCCCCTGCATAGGCGACATTGGTAGCAACCAACATGTACATGGTTATGTACCAATTACGGAGTACTCTAGCCAGCCTTTATGCGTCGTGTAATTACACCACCCGCGCCGCACACTCATAGAGGTAGGCAAGCAAACGAATATTGACATACAGGCGACGACTACTACCAAGTTGATTCCGTTTTATTGTGGAAACCCGGTAGTGTGATTCTGATTACTAGTCGACCGACGTGCTCCCATTAACTTACGGTCTCGATGGCAAATGTTAGTAGTGTGGTGATGGCCCGGATGCTAGGCGAACAGGGGAGCAATGTTACGATATATATGACAGATGCAACGGAGAAACATTGCTGACTGAATCATAGGAAGTATACAGATTGAAATTACACATGCAGTGAATCAAAGAAAGCTCATTAGGCTGCTGTTCTGTACGATCAGCTAAGATCAAGCGAGAGTGACCAACCTATGGTGCCAAGCAGTCCCCAGTCGCCATGGGGATTCCCCCACGCAGAGGCATCGTGGCAAATACTCCGCAAGCTTTACTATACACGTACAAGCAGATCTTTCAGCCCGTCCGCCAAATCACACAGGATAACCATTAGCCAGATATCCAATCAATTAGATCGTCTCCGAAGAGAACGGAGCCGGGAGCGCTGCCCGATAAGGGGGAGCGCCTCAAAAGCTCCCCCAACCTAACCAGGGCGATGCGGCTGACACCGGAAGGTCGGCAAGCGTTACCGATTGGTAGTCCCATGCATCGCGGCTACAGGATCTGGGGGGAGTGGCAAAGTGGTTGTTGAAGTAGTGTGAGTCGATGGCTTGAATCTGGGGTCTCTAGGGTAGTAGATCGTGAGCAAGCACGTGTGGGTGAGTTTTGTGTGTTGTTTTCTGTGGCTGATTTGAATTGGACTTGTCTATGAGATGGAATGATATTGCAGGCCAGGCCCATCAAGTAGAAGGTCTTTTGATGGTATACACTCTTGGATGTATACGGTGGTCGTCGCATTTTCTCCTCCTGACGTAGTTGGTTCCATTTTTGGCCGCCTTCCTATCTAAAACTACTAAGCTTGCATGGACGTATTGCATATCTGGAAATTCACAACACCGACACCCAGAACAACCTCATCGATAAACTAAAAATACTCAAATCGTACGACCGGCATGAAGCGGAACGCCCCGAGCTTCTAGAAAAGAAAAAGCGGCCCGTCGACGAGGAAATCGGGGTGGAAGTCGGCATGACAAAACATGCTCAGCTCGTACGATGATGCGCCGGCTGCGGCATTACCGCCCCGACTGTGTGCTTGCTGGTAGCATTAAGCGCGTCACTGCGTCAGCCTTTTGCGGCGTATTTGGTTTTTGCTAAGCAAGGGGGAAACACGTGAGGCGAGAGTTTCCAACGGGCGAAACCGCCGCAGGGCCGCGCTTCATGGCGGCTCTCGTCGTACCCAGATGGACGTTGCATTTTTGCCGCGAAAACGATGCCGCACATGCCGCCGCCGCCGCCGTGGCCGCCCTTTTTTGCCTGGCTCTTGGCTCAAGTTTCGCCGGTTACCTAAGCCGGAGGCGGCCGCCGCGCCGCAAAGGCAGAGAACAGCTTTCGGAGCATGTAGGAAAAGACAGAGGCGTTCGCGAGCTTTCAATTTTGCTTGTCTACGAGGGAGCTCTACGCGTCATGGACTGGGGGAAAATGGATAATTCTCATTGGTGCGTAAGATAAGATTCTAATCAGAACGTTCTCATGTGCTTTAATCTTTTGTTGCATCAGCTTGGCAGGGGAAACAAAAAAAAAAGGGCGCCTTCTTTTGGTGGCCGGACGGAGGCACGGCGAAGACACGGGAATTTCTCGGTGGGGAATTCTCGGATTCTGTGGCGGGGCGGCTCGGAAGGGGAATCAAGAATTTTCAAGGTTGACATCATGCCGCTAGAGCGAGGCTTGGGGGTGGGATGGACTGGCACTATATTTACAGGGCGCCTCGCTGCCATCATCTGTGGCTTTTTTGCATTGCATTGCCATTCAGCATCAATACAATCGACAGTCAACACTCGACTTGAACACATGCAACAGCCAATCACATCTTTTCCATCCTCCTTTAAACAAACAACAAACACAACAACTCAATCAACCTTTTAAATAAAAACCCTCACACGACCATCATTAAACAGCCTCCGAGGAGAACCAACCATCTTCCACCGATCGGCCCATAACTTCGCTGCCTCTTGCTGCTTTGGGATCCACCACAGCTTTTCTGGCACCACCCCTCTCCCATCTGAGTTCCTCTGGGGTATCAAATCTCGCCCGACTTAGTACCCAGGCCTTTTGCCTTTTTTCTCCTTGAACAACCCCCGACAGCCATCCCAGTTACCGCTCGAGCCGGTCTTAATCAGCCTACTTTCAGCTTGAGAGATAGCCTTTTTCGCGGCCTTTTCGCAACCCCGCTTTCCGACCAGTACAAGACCAAAAGCTCCGAAGCTCGAGATATATATTCGCTACTGAGCCACATCCCTCCACTCTAGCTTCTATAGCTACAGCATCACCACCGCACTCCCCTACACAACCACAACCAAACCCCAACAGTCATCATGAAGGTCGTCACCAAAGAAGAAGAAGCCGCCCACTACGGCGCTGTCGTCAAGGGCGGACTCATTGGTGGTACGCTCGGTCTCGCCATTGGTGTCTCTGGTGTTGTCTACGCCTCAAGGCGCTACCCCAGCTTCCGTGGCTTGACACTGCCCTTCCGAACCTTCCTCGTCACATCCACCGCCACCTTTGGAGCCATTGTTCAGGCCGATCGATCTGGCATCAAGTTCCAGCAGGGCAAGGACCCCATGAAGACCTACCGCGACGCCTCAGCGCGTGCCCAGGAGGTGATCCGTGAGAACGAGACCGCATACGAGCGATTCATGAACTATGGACGCGAGCACCGCTACAGCATTGTCTGCGCATCATGGCTTGCTAGTATGGCCGTTGCCTTTGCCATCGTCAGCCGCGCGCCCATGAGCACCCCCCAGAAGATTGTGCAGGCTCGTGTCTACGCTCAGGGCCTGACGCTTGCTGTGCTCATCGTCTCAGCTGCCTTTGAGATGAACGATGCCAAGAACGCAAAGGGCCGCTGGGAGACCGTCATGGTCCTCGACCCCAACGACCCCGAGCACAAGCACCTCATTGAGAAGAGAATCCACCACGAGGAGTACGAGGGACAAGATCTGTGGATGGGTAAGTCGTCTCCCTTCTTATGCTACACCAATAAACTCCAGAGAGAATCGTTTGGCTAACATGAACGCCCCTAGATATGGTTGAGGCTGAGGAGAAGAGAATAGCTGCCCGCAAGGCTGAGCAGGAGCGCGAGCAGCAGCAGGCCCAGTAAGCAGCTGCTGAATTGCACTTCATTCTCCCGCCCATGTCAGCCATTAGCAGCAGATTGCCTGTCTGAGGCTCAGCTCTAATGCTGGCATGGCATGCAACCTTTATCCGTCACATCCGGTTGCTTATAACCGGCCCCTTCAAACTCAAACTCAAATCACCATCCGCATATAAACACATGACACATACATACCACACTACTCACGCATGTATCAACTCATGGACACTCACACATTTCTACACAGCAGAAGAAGGTGATTCCACGCACACGCACACGCACACAAAAGCAAACAAAAACAATTCGAAACTTTATAATTTCATCCATTGGGTTTTGAGGGGAAATTTCGGGATGGGTTTTCGTCACGGGTTATAGAGAAAAGAAAACCACACTCATGAAGAAGTTACTTGGGCCAATCTTGATGACGGGGTCATTTGGGACTGGTGTAATCTTTCATTTTGTCATTTTTTTCATTTATCAGCATTTACATGATGGGGCGTGTTTGATTCACCTTTGGCATTTCATTGGGTGGTTGGAATGAAACAAATTGTACAGGATAATTTCATTTGCAGTATATATATACCTTATATACACATACTTCCCTTTTGTATAACAGAAAACAATATGACAATATTTCATCAAATGATATCATGAACCAATCTGGATTTTAAATACTGGCATCATGAAGATTCTACTTCCACCTCCTATGAGATAAAAACTTGTAATGAAACTGCCGCTGCTTGCTTCTGTACAATGGAAAAAAAGGGAAATAAACCAGCCGTATCAGCTTTACTCTCTATGCACACAGATGAAAAATTTCCAGAAAAAAAAATAAGAAAGGTGAATAGGTATAGGTATAGAGTATTCAACGGTCTTTGCTGTCTCTTCATAATCGCATGGTAGGGGGAAAAAAATCCATCATCATACATCAATCGTGAAATGGCTGATTTGCGAGTAATACGCGTGGACCGCCAGCTCCAGAAGCATAACGTCGCCAAACACATCGCTGCCGTCGAAGCCGCCCACGACGAGCAGCCTGCTGTCGTACAGCACCGTGCCGTGGTACCCGCGGCCGCTGGGGGGCAGGCCGTACGCCTTGCGGCGGTCCCACGTCATGGTGACCAGGTTGAGCAGCAGCACGTCGTTGCAGTACTCGTGGCCGTCGTGGCCGCCGATGACGAACAGGTACGAGCCCACAATGGTGGCAGTGTGCGAGAGGCGGCGGAACGTCATGGGGATGTTGACGAGCTTCCAGATGTGCCTCTCCACGTCGTAGATCCACACGTCGTCGAAGCACTCGCCGCCGTCCGACCCGCCAAAGATGATGAGCTTGCTGCCGACCATGTTCGCCGTGTGGTAGCCGCGGGCCTTGGGCCGCCTGTCCCTGGACCCGGGGACCGGCTTCTCGGCGCTGGATATCAGCCTCCACGACATCTTGGTTGTGTCGCTGACGTCGAGCCGCCAGATGTCGTTGAGGGCACGAACGCCGTCGCCACCGCCAAAGATGTAGATGCCATTCTTGTACAGACACGCCGTGTGGGCACGACGCTTCGAGGGAAGCTTGTCTCCCACGATGCGAGGCTTGGACCACCGGAAATTGACCGTATCAAGTACGTAGACGTCGTTGTAATACGCGGGGCCATCACCGCCTCCAAATACCACGAGCTTCTTCCCCACCGCCGTGCAAGTCATGGCTCGGAGGGGCATTGGGATATCTCCCGTCATGTGCGGCACTGACCAGTAGAAGGAGTCGGCGTCGAGGACATACATGGCATTGAAGCACGTCTTTGCATCGCAGCCGCCAAACACGTATACGTTGGAGCCGATGAGCGTCACCGTATGAGCCCGCAGGTTCGAGTGTGGCGATCCGGATACCGGCGCCTTAGACCAGTACATGCCAGATGCTGGGGCGGGAGAGACGTCTGGCCCATCGTCGGGTTTCGGCAAGGGGGGGAAAGTGGTGTGTTTGCCGGACACCGGACGAGAGATGATGGTGCTCGTTTGGCGAGCCGACACTGCGGATGTAGTTCTTGACGATGGAGTCGCAGCTGGTGCCGCCGCCGGCTTTTGTTCTGCTTCGCCATCGCGAGGGAGGGGAGGGGGATTGTCGGGGACGCTGTTGGAGGAGCTTGTCGGTTTTCTCTGCCCCGGAGCTGTTGCCGGGGGAGGGGGCGGCGGATGTGAGTGCGTAGCTGAAATTGCCCGTTGACGAAGAGGCAATTCGGCGGTTCCCTTGCTGCCGCGTTGTGGATCTGGCAGATTGCTCCTGGCAGCGAGCTGGCCTGGCGTGTGGCTCCTGGGCAATGGTATTACCGGCTCTTCATCCTCCACTGGCACGTATCGTGGCTCGACCTCGTCGTATTCGCGTCCCTCGTAGCGGCCTACACCGTCCAAGTCCTCCTCTTCCTCGTCTTCATCGTCATCGTCATCGTCGAACATCGGTGGCCGTCTAGTAGCGGAGGGGTCGATGCCGGTCCTTTGGGACCGCGAGGCGTGTCCCGAGCTGAAGGTCGATGACTTGTCAGGAGATCGGGTCGCACTAACAGACGACTGGCCCAGATCCTCCATGGTCTCGCCAGCTGCTCCTCATTGCCCCCTAACGGAGAGCAGGCAATGGAGTTTCGGCAGCACAATTCGCGAGGTCTCACAGGGACGCGTGCAGGAGGAGCTTAACTCCTTTGATGGGGAGGCGGGTTGAGGGGGGATGTTTGGTGGGGTCAATGGATTTGCTGGGCACTGAATGGTAGGTGACTTTAGTGCTGCTGCTGTAGCGGTCTGAGCGCTGAAATGGCGAGCTACAGCGGGTCAATAGTGGGGTCGTGTGCTGATGTTGGGCTCAGTCGTCGAAACACCGCTAATATGTTCAAAGTAGGCTGCCAATGATGTAGAGAGATCTCCTCCAGCTCCCCATTGTAAGTAAAGGAGCATCAAACGCACCGCCAATGAGTTAATTTCATTCTTGGTTGTGGGCTATGTTTTGTTTGTACGAGCACGTTGGTGTAGTCTACTACCCCTGGCGGTTCTTCAAATATATTACATTCTCATCCTTTTCTCACTCAATGTCGCCAACATCTTGACACGCCTGCTGGCAAAGGGTGACACCGAATGCGTTGAGGCCAACACGCCTGTATAGAGTGGCTGGCCTTGAATGCTCTCTAACCGCTTGTACGACTGATAGTCTTCACAACGGAACTTATTTCACGTTGATAAAAATAAACCATAGGCGGTAAGTCCAAGCAGCCCGATGCTGTCTGAGCCGGTGATTGTATTGCCTACTAGGTATATATATCATGCTTCTTTTTCCTCATGTCCTCATTCCATCATCTCCTTACCCCATGACCTTCTAACTCTACTATTGGTAATAATCCCGTCCCAAGTCTCAAATGGCTAATTCTATCGAAATCTTAGGTGCGGTGAACAATGTTCTGGGGTTGGGGAGTCGAATCTATATTTTTTTCAGCAATGTCAAGGACGCACCGGAAGAGGTGCGTCGAATGTGTGAGCAATTGCAATCTCTTCAGAAGTTGCTTCCAGAGATTGAGCGAGCAGCCTTTGACCTCGTTCATGCCATGCCACTGAGCCTGGAAACAATCCTGACATGCCTGGAAGGATGTGATACGGATTTCAACACGTTATGGTTGGCTGTCGAACCGCTCCGTACGGAACCTGGTATCACTTGGCGTGATGCCTTGAACAGAATTACAGCCAGCGTCAAATGGGTCGTCAAGACTGAAGAGCTTGAAAAGTTTACCAAGAATCTCGAGACGGCGAAGCAGACCTTGGTTCTCGCCATGCTTCTTGCTGGAATGTGAGTGCTGCGGCCGGTAAAGGGCTGCTACGTGCCATGTGTTGTTTACTGACATACCATCCCAACTAGGAGAGTTGATAGAGCCGTTCTTAATGGACTGTCATCCATCGACACTAAGCTTGAGAAATATGGGTGTGCGATTAATTCTCGTCTTGATGACGTTCATAGAGAAATCGCATTCCAGCTCAAACAGTCCGAATACAAGTTCCTGAAAAGGATAGACATTCTCTCTGGAGCTGCAGCTGAGATTCATGGGCAAAATAACCTCCGAGTCACCCAGCTTTACGACAGCATTACCCCAAATGAACTACTGCAAACTGACCACCTATCGACTGTGCAGTCAGTTGGCAGCGACGTGACCTTCGCGGTTTCTGCTTCTCGAACACCACAAATCGGCCTAGTTGATTTCTCGTTTGAGAACCAACAAGGAGATGATGCAGATCAGGCGAAAAAGAAAGACGACGAAACTTTAGACTCTCTGTTACCGGGGTTCCAAGATGCCATACGACGATGGGAAGTGGTTGCCTACGCAAATGGGACACATAATTCCGGCAATGCTGCATTAGGATCTTCTAATTCTCCGCTGAGTAACATAATTTACCAATTGAAGGAGGTTGAAGAGACTGTTAAGCAATACGACCTTGCTGGGGGTATGTTTGAAAAATTTGAAAACAACTCCCTCTTGTTTAACATCTTGGAACTTTCCGCAATCGCAAACCCCGGAGTGGAACTTGTACTGGAGGTAGGTTGGCAATAGCATCGTTGAATGGAATTGAACTAATTGATATCAAGGTTGCAAGACGATGGACGGAATATTTCGAATTGATCAAGGAAGCACTGCACGAGATGCAATATGCTCTTGAGACCTGCACTCGTGAGTACGAGCTATACCCGGAACCCAAGCTTAAGATCATGATAATGGAGCTATATACTGAAAGCTTTTCGGGAATGACGACGGTGCTCAAGGTTCTGCGAGGGAGGTGGAAATTATGGGTACCAGGGCGGAATCATCATATTTTGAAAGACACCATCGCGAAGATCCGGCGGTCTTCCCAGAAAGTTATAAAAGAGGTGGAATATCTTCAACGAAGAGAACTGAGGCAGGCTCATCTCCGACTTCGTGGGATTGACAGGAAGCAAGACCAGGTTATTCGAGCATTGGATGAGCAGAAGAAGATCTTGATCTCTATGCAGGAAGAGCGAAAGGCTTTGAACCTCATCAATGATCATCAGAAGGTCGTGCAGATGTTGCAGCAGCTGTTGGCCAAATTTCCTCTGCCAGTTGCAGTTGGAGCTTCTATGAGCGAATAGAAAGCGAGAGATTAATTGCGAGTTGAATGTTTGTACTCTATGCAACTACGTATTAGTCTGTCAAGCTGCCCTGGAAATTGAAAGTAAATTCACAGTCAAGATATCGATTATATCTGATTCAGACGCGAGATTACTGATCACTGTGAGGCGTTGGAATCTGCTGTTCAATGAATCAGTGTGTAGCAATATTCTCTTACTCTAATATTCCAAGGAATATGATTGTAGGAGTGGAATCCCTTATTTAACAGGTTAAGGTAAGCAAAAGAGATCATTGTCAGAGACATAGGACTGCAGTGCATGTTCGAGTAGCTCTAGAAATGAGGTCTTACAGAGGTGGTTGGGTGGATACCTGTACAGTGCGTAAGACGTATTTGCCAATGCTGAGAACAGGAGATAAGATCTGCAGTATACATTTTGTATCGACACTGTATTAGCACAGTGCCACCTGTTACGGCAAGCGCCAAAGGTGTGCAACTGCTTCACTTCACTGTCAGTAGAATTTTCTAGCTCCACCGCGTTTACTCACCTCCTCCATACCATCACATCGCAAGGCCGGCCCAATTGAAGCTGATTTTCAGTTGGGAAAAGCCTTTGTTTCATTTTTACCCAGTACGTTGAGCAAAGTCTTTAAAAAGTCTTTGCTGGTACACTTTATCCGATAAAATCTTCCCTTCCGCAACTGAGACTCTCACCTCAGATTCTGAACAAGCCAACCGACTATCATCCATATCAAGATATTTGACAGCATCATCGGCACAATATGGCTACAGAATCTGTTTCAAAAATGGATGATCAACTTCCCGATGTTGACTCGCAACTAGAGGAGCGAGCTGCGAAACGAATTAAGATTGACGACGCAGGTGCTACTCTGGACCATAAGGGAGAAAATGGCCAAGAGACGGCTCAAGTTCCTCAGAAGGGCAATCATGTAGAGCATTCAGACAACCAGACCCAGCCGGTGTCTGGGGCTTCAAAACCATCAGAGGAGAACGGGGAACCCGCAGATCGGGTCAAGGGCATGGCTCCTATTAAGAAGGAGTAAGTCCTATCTCAGCAACACCTCGCATATGATCCTAACTTGATCTTCCTAGGTATCTCATCGATATGTCAGGGGACCAGAATGAGCGTTCTGCTGCTGTAGATGACGACGCTGCTGAAGGTCGAGGTTCTAATGACCGAGACCAGCGAGATGGGCAAGATGCGAGAGATCGAGGAAAGAAGGGGAAGAAGAAGGCAAAGGGCCAGAATATTGATCGTTCATTTGGAAGATTTGACGACGCTATCCCCCTCTGCAACAGCAGGGCTTACTCCGCAGAATTCTCGCCAAAGGAATGCCAGTACGGTGATGGGTGCAAGATGTGTCACGACCTACGCAAATACCTAAGCGAGGGCCGCCGCGAAGATGTCGAGGCTCTCGGCGGGAAATGCCCTGCATTCGAGGCGTATGGCTACTGTGCTTCAGGCTGGAAGTGCCGGTTTGTCAAGAGCCATATGCAGGAAATTGAGCACGCCGATGGCAGGAAAGAGCTGGTTTTGAGCGACAACCGTCCGCCCAAGGTGGAGCCCAAGGAGCCGCCGAAGGAAGAAGAGTCTGCTCCCCAGGAGACTTCAGAGGAAAAGGGATCAAAGTTTGAGGAGAGAGGGAAAAGTGAGGATGAACTACGACCCGGCATCTTCAACGTCGTCACCATGGGCCAGAAGATTGAACTGAACCGCAAGAGACTCGACTTTACCAAGGCAGACGAATACATCAAATGGCTGAACCACGAGGCCGGCATCAGCCAGGACTTTCACCACCGTCGCAAAGATCAACCAGCGCTAGGTCTCGAAGACCTTCGGGCTCGATTTGTCGACCCTCCATTCAAGCCATCCGAGAAGCGCCGCCTGTACTTTGGCGCAGAGACTCCGACTCTTGCCCCTTTGACAACTCAGGGCAACCTCCCATTCCGGCGTCTATGTGTAGAGCTCGGCTGCCAAGCCACCTACTCAGAAATGGCTTTGGGAATGCCCCTGCTTCAGGGCTCCAAGTCTGATTGGACCCTGATGCGCACTCACAGGTCTGAGATTACGCCTCCCAAGATGAGTCCGGGAGCTATCCCGCTGTTCGACGACTATAACCACTCACGCGATCTCAAGTTTGGCGCCCAAATCTCGGGCAGTGCTCACTGGGTTGTCACCAAGGCTGCTGATGTTCTCAACCGCTACTGTCCTCATCTCCGAGTAATTGATCTCAACTGCGGTTGCCCAATCGACAAGGTCTTCAAGTCAGGTGCTGGATCTGCTCTTCTTGATGCCAGTGGCAAAATGGAGCGTATGATCAGAGGCATGAATGCTGTGTCTGGCGAGATTCCCATCAGCGCCAAGATCAGGACTGGAGTTCGCAAGGACCGCTCAACCGCCACCCAGATCATTGGCAAGCTGGCGTTCGGATCCCGCGAGCATCGCGAACGACTTGGTGCTCCTGGATGCGCGGCACTTACTCTTCATGGCCGTAGTCGCGAGCAGCGGTATACCAAGACGGCAGACTGGGGTTACATTGGCGAATGTGCTGCTCTCATCAAGACTTACAACTATGAAAAGGCCAAGATCACCGACACAATTGCTGAGCCAGATGAGAGCACCCTAGCCAATTCCAAGGACGGACGCATGTACTTTCTCGGCAACGGCGACTGCTTTTCCCACGTAGATTACTATGAACACCTTGAAAAGGCTCGTGTCGACACAGTCATGATTGGCCGTGGAGCCCTCATCAAGCCCTGGATCTTTGAGGAAATTGAAAAGGGTCAATACCTTGACAAGTCTTCCACTGAACGCCTTGGCTACATTGAAAAGTTTGTCAAGTATGGTCTCGAGGCGTGGGGCTCGGACGAACTGGGCATCGGCTATACCAGACGCTTCCTCCTCGAGTACCTCAGCTTCGCGCACCGCTACGTGCCAATCGGTCTGCTGGAGCACTTGCCTCCACGCCTGAACGACCGGCCACCGGCATATAAGGGCAGAGATGAGATGGAGACGATGATGGCGTCTGACAACTACAAGGACTGGATCAAGATAAGGTATGCAAACTGTCATTTCTCTTCACGGCCCCGGTTCTTCTATTTGGTTTTGCAAAACCATCTATTTATATGCAATGTCGTAAAATATCAGCTAACATGTGCTTCACAGCGAGATGTTCCTCGGGCCCGTTCACCCAGGATTCCAATTCCAGCCCAAGCACAAGTCGAACTCTTATGAAGCTGAAGGCTAGTGCTGGTGCCCGTCGCAATCTAGACCTACGGCGCAACGCGCAGTGGTGTTCTACGTGCTATATATGATGGTCAAAGACTGGCTTTAAATTTTGGGCTCGTTAGCCAAGGCAACGTCGCAGTATGTGTTCAAGACAGAAGAAGAATATAAGATTCACACGAGCTAATTGATACTGTTCCGAACGTCGTAAAGTAGATTTAAAAGTGTATAAAAACTGATGATACAAATAGTAGACACGCCGACTTTTGTACAGTGAAATTGAGGGACCCATCCACATCTCCATGAAAAAGCGCATTAACACATGAGGCTAATGTGGTAGCAAAATACGTTTCTGAAAAGCTCAACTCCCGTGGTTTAATAACGACACGTTACAAAAGAAAATAAAAAGTGTAGCACGCCCAGTGAAATTATAAGAAAAAAGAGAAATGCTATGCCAGAGCATCAAATCGCGTAAGCCTTGGTTGGCCCGAATTTCATCATTACAGTGCAGAAAAGAGAAAAGCTTGGTCGTTTAAGAGTAGAAGTGACTCCTCTGCATGCCGTCCGCAGTGGCGTACTCCTTCTTGCCCTCCTCGGATGAGGATGAGCTGGTCAAGGAGTTGGTCCTGCTGTCGGGAGCAGCCTTGAGCTTCTTGGGTTCGGATGTAGATCGCTTCAGGACCTCGAGGTAGGTCGAGGGCAGGTATCCCTGGCGGCCGTCGCGGCTGCGGCAGTGCCACCACTCGCTGGGCTGGCCGGCAGGATCATTCTTGCTCAAGACGGCGACGAGGTCGCCCTTCTTTCCCTCGAGCTCCATGCCGTTGGGCTGCTGGGGGGTGAAGTCGAAGCGGAGACGGCAGAACTCCAGGTTGGCGGGATCGACGGGCTTCTGGGCCTCGAGGGCCTGTGCCTCTATACGTCTCTCCTCCTCCTCGACGTTGGCAGAGATGCTCTTGATCACCTTGGACATGAGGTAGGGGAGACCGAAGGCGGCGAGGAGGAAGAAGAGGAGGGGCTTTCGGCTGGCCTTGGGAGGCTGGGAAGACCCGCCGCCGGGGCTGCCAGATCGACCCTGGAATAGGGCGAAATCTGAGGGATTGAGGGACGCGGCATCGGCTGGCAGAGGACGGCCAGTGAGCTTGGCGAGGAGGGTTCGGATCCAGCGTAGTAGGGTGAAGATTCCGAGCAGGGATCCCAGAGTGTCACGCAGGTTGCCAAACTGTTCAGCAACAGAAATCATGGCTAGTCAATGTGTTAGCCATCCATAAGAACGATCAGATTGGATGTTGATAGTCAAGACTTACCGAAGAAGGAGGAATGCGTGGCCATGTATGTGCTCTCAAGCATCTGCGCAAAACCACCAAAGGCAGTGACAACGCCCTCGAGCATCTGGAAAGTGGCTTGAGTGCCGTTGCTGAAGCGGTTCACCATGCTGTTGGGGTCGCCCATGCCCATACCACCACCATACATGCCGCCGCCGCCGTACATACCGCCCATGCCTCCGTAACCGCCATACATGCCGCCGCCATATCCTCCATACCCGCCACCAAAGCGCGAGTAAGGACTTGAGTAGGGCGATGAGTATGCACTGTTGTAACCACCATATGGCGAAGCTCCCATGCCTGGCATGCCTGCCATACCACCCATGGCGCCGACGCGGGTGTGAGCGGCGGCGTTCTGGTTGATGGAGGCGGCGAGCGACGCAGGGCGCTCAGGTATCGGCGGTGCGTCCATGGAGGCGACAGATGAAGCAGGCGATAAGGGTGCTGATGATACAGAGGCTGGTGAGGATGGGATGGTGACTGTGGAGGGAGGCTGGTCAGCATGTGAAGGTCACGGGCGAGCGCGCTCTAGATCAAAGCAGAGAAAGGCAAGCAAAACTAACGCAGCTTCGCGTCGGGGACTTACGTGAAGGTCCTGAGCCAGCGCCAGCTCTCTCCCAGGGCTTAGGTGGCGAAGCCATTATGGGGGATAAGAAGGGAAATGAAGAAGAAAAACAACAACCAGGGGGTATCACAATAGTACAGGAATTGCCGCCGAGGAGCGCGTGCGCTTGGTCGAATCTCGCTTTGGGTGTGGACAAGGAGCCGTGCAAGTAGGGAATCAAACCAGATGGCTGGGAGCTGCCGAAGGATTGGTTTGTGATTTCAATTTTTCAGCTGGGGCTGCGACAGGCCCCAGGTGTGGCGATAAGCGACGGCAAGACGGCGGTATCGACAGGCAGAAAAAAAAAAAGAAGGGCGTGAGGCCGTGGTCTATGATGGCGTCGATTGTTCGGATGGTGGAATTGGAAGAGGAAGGGAAGGGGAAGAGTTGCGATAAGGTTGTGGTGATGGAGAGGGGAGAGCGAATGGCTGGATGCAATCACAAGCCCCCGGCTTGGTAATTAATCGAGGCCTGGAAATCCCGGGGCTCGCGTGGTTTCGCACCGGGTACGAGGGCGATACTTGCGAGGTTATCCCTGCTGACGCGGCGCAGGGGGTACCGAAAAGGTATCTCCCTTGCATCTTCCCACTGAGGCGGAGCTGCGGCTGACCCTTCTGGGGGACGGGAAAAGCGGGGCGCCGTGGTTGTGGTTTGTTTGCCTCGGCATTTCCATGACGACGGCAGGCCGACGGCTAATGGCTTTTGCGGTACTGCAATTTCTACTAGACGCATCAGGATGGAGCAGCATCTCCCAGCTAATTTGCTGAAGCGCACTGCTGCATGTACGTCGCCACTTGTATAGCGGCCTGGCGCTTTGGTGCTGTGCTGTGTTGCTGTGGTGTTGCTGTGCTGAGCCGTGCTGTGTGCTGTAGAGCAGCGGAGGCTGGCAGGCTGTGGCAGCGGACTGCAGCGCTGTACCCGTACTGTAGCGGGCACTCAGGCACTGAAGCGATGGCGCAACCGCCTGTTGATTGGCCTCCGGTGAGTGCGATGTCTCCAGCCGCTGTGCAGCTTGTTTTGGCCGGATCAACAAACCCGGGCGGCTCGTATCCGCTGGATTCACGGATATCTACTCGATTTTTGTGCAGTGCATCTTTGGGTCCCAAGGCAGACACGTCCAGACACACAGACACACCCAGACTCAGCTTTCAGCTGCCATGGCCGCGGTACGTTGCGACCAGAGCGCGACCTGTGAGTGGCTGCGAGGTGCATGAGCCGAGTCTCACGCATATATCCATGGCTATGCAGATAATCATTAGCATGCACCCCGCGGCTTGTTGTTTTTATTTTTATTTTTATTCATGGATTTCGGTCGTTGTGGTTGGACGGCGGAGCGGCTTATGTACGGGTGCATGTAGATTCCCTAGCGGGTTTGGCGGGTGAGATACCTGATGCGGCACCAGCGTGTGCAGGGCATCCGATTCGAGCGAAATGGATGGCTTTGGTACACAAAGGGCCGGGAGGGTGCAGTTGGGCATTAATCTTGAGAGGAATGGGGGTTGGGAAGCAGACAGATGTTCTATTCGATCTGCGACGTTTGTTAATGAGGAAATGACAATTGCAGAGGAACGAAGAGGCAGCTCCGATACGATTAACTTCCAAGTTGTTGATGCTGAAAGGTACGGATTAATTACATAAGACGAGCTGTAGTGAGATAACCCGTGCCAGTGACCACTTCATCTCATATCCAATAGGTATACAAATGATTTTGACATTGATGGATGTAGCTTGATGACTTGTTCTCTCCTCTCAACTTTCAACCTCGTCAACTCCGTAGATCGTACCAATACCTACAGTCCTCACAACCATCATGCAGCAATCACGCAAACGCCCTCCCAGCCCCGACCTCGTGCCCAATCCCCTCATCAAGAAGCGCAACCTGGCCTGGTCCATCGACTCTCCCTCATCTCATCCCCATCTCCATCGTCCTGCTCCTCCTCCTCCTCGCAGCATCTCGACCGCCTCCATCCCCTCCGGCAGACGCAGACCCACCGCCGGCACCACCGCCGAGATCGAGTCCGGAGCTGTCGACATCCCCGACCATCTGCCACGCTTCTCATCAACTCTCTCCTCGCATCTGCGCCCGACATCGGCTGCCGTCCCTCGGCTATCCGTCGCATCCTATTCGCACCTCTACCAGAGCTGCCAAGGGAGCCCCCGCGGTGCGCATTTCGTGGTGCACCAGCACGACCATCCCGTCGCCGGTCCGCACTACGACCTGCGTCTTCAGATCAACGAGACGAGCAGCGTCAGCTGGGCCATCATGTACGGGCTCCCGGGCGATGCCAACAGCAGCCGCCCGAGCCGCAATGCCACCGAGACTCGCATCCACTGTCTTTGGGCAAGTTTCACTTCCAATTCCTGAATCCTGATGCTTGTTTCTGATCTACCTTACCTTTACCCTGCGATATACAGGCGACGCTTTGCTGCTGACCGCCCAGAGCACTGCAGAATCACCTTGTCGAAACCGCGTCTCCAGAGACGGGCTCCCTCCTCATCTGGGACACGGGCACGTACTCGATTCTCCCACGCCCCAGCAAACATGCCCCTACTCTCGACCCCTCCTCACCGCCAGCCTCTCACCAATCTGCATCTCCATCTCCCTCACAGACGGCCCAGTCTCTCCTTCACGCAGCCTTCCAGGACCGTAAGATCCGGCTGCGTCTCCACGGAGCAAAGCTCCCTGATCCATACGTCATCAATCTCCGCCTGACCAAGTCGGAAGATGCCGCAGGGCGGTATAGGGGCCTGAAGACACGGGCTGCAGGTACCGCTCGTAGGCGTCGAGGGAGAACGACGCGGGTTCAGCCACAAGAGCGGGAAACCAGCTCTTCTTCTTCTTCTTCTTCTTCTTCTTTTTCTTCTTTCAGCGGCGAGGCTGGCGATGACGATGGCCATGTCTTGGATAATGAAGAGCCTCGAATCGAAGCCAATGACGATCCCTCTCTGAGCCAACAGCAAGACGCACAAGTCCGCCTCACAAACGCCTACCCCGGGGCCTCAAACACCATCGGCAGCATCCACCAGCGAAGATGGTACCTCTCCCTAGATCGCCGCGCATGTGGCTTTACAGAAAAGCGGCGTCGCGGCCGCAGCAGCATGTGGGAGCCTCCCTCGATAGAGTCACCTTCAGCCTCGGAACCAGGATCCTCGCGGCTCTCGTTCCCGTTTTACGTCCGCGGGCCGCCGTTTGAACAGAGCGTTGTGACGGGGAGAAGAGGAGAGGACGTTTTGCGGGATCAAGGCGTAACTACTTTTATCCCGAGGAAAGGTTGGATGCCCGTGATGAAGTGAGTGTCTGCGAGGGGACGCCGCTGTTTCCATTTAATTCGTAGACCAGGTAAGCCCTTTGCCTGTTAAGTACATCTGTCCTAGGCTATCGTATAGGTAATGGCATGAGCAGGCTCTGCCACCATCATTGTAAATATCGACATGATACTACACCCCGACAGCATCTATTTTGTTAGCTTGGTACTGAGCGTCATCAACTTGCCAATGGCATCAAAAAAAAGTACCAAACTAACAAAATAAACGCTTGCGGGTGTACCAAAACCCACCCTTCAATGGAATCATTCAGGTTTCTTCTTTATTTAACTATACCATAAAACTGCTACCTTTTTGCCCAACCCGATTTGGTCTGCTTCATCTTGGCACTGAGCAAAGAGCCCATACCTAATGGACCACCGAAAGAAAGAAAGGAAGAAAGAAAGAAGAAGAGAAATGGCAACCTAGTTACAATTAGCGGCGAGGTTTTACGCAGGCTCGGCTGCCGCCATATGATCGAAAAATACTACGCCAAATCGCAAAACGCCAGTCTATGCCAGTGACATTGGCACCCACCATCATCCATCTAGTATATAGTCATTGCTTAAACCGCGTTCCCCATCGTGTGACGTTGACCGTCTCGCTGCAGGAAAAGAAGACGAGACACAGTATAACTCGCTCCACAAAGAAAATAAAGCAAAAATGATAAAAAAAAGAACCAAACAAGATGGAACTCCATCATGTTGGATTCGTGACGAGAGTGGGAGCGATTCTCCTCTTCTTAGGCTCCTTCCCCTCTTCCTTTTCGGCTTCATCGGCGTCCCTCTTTACGCCCGCGCTCGCTGTGGGAGCCACCACCTTGGGCGTTTCCGGAGGCGTTGTCAACGGCACGCCCGTCACCCTGCCTGAATTGGTGGCCGTGATCGATGGCACATTACCACTAATGAGAGGCGGGTTGCTCACGACTACAGAAGGCTGCGTGGCCACAGAAGACGTAGAATTCGACCTTGTGGGCGACGACGGGCGATGAGATGGGACTGCCGAGGTGGATGGAGGAGAAGGCGCTGTGAAAGAGCTCGACGAGTTGCGAGATTGATGCTGTGGTCCGCTGGGGAACGGCGATGGGGAGGCAAAGTTGGACGTGGGAGTCGAAGTGGATGCATTCTGGTTTGATGAAACTGCCTTTGCACCAACCTCGCCCTTGTAAACCTCGCCGAGCTCACCGGCAGCAAAGGTTAACGTGGAACAGAATCCATCTGATGACGAGATGATGAGGGTGAGCCCGTCAGTGGACCTGAAGATACTGGTTAGCTTACATCATCTCAAAATTCAAGAAGCCGAATGTACATACCAAGCAAGGTCAGTAAAGGTTGCGCAGTGCAGATTGCTAACTACGCATATCGGGGTCTTCTGTTGTGTATCGTATAACAAGACGGAATCCTGTGTGGCGACAGCGTACACCATCCGATATGGAAGGGCAAAAGCCGGTTTGGGGCCTGGCGTAGACGCGTTATTCTCGGCTGCTGCTGCTGTTGCTCCCTTGGACGGAGCAGTTCCTTCAGCAGCATTTGGTGCAACGGTAGTTGAGGATGGTGTGGGAAGCGGCGGAGGCTCCATGACGGAAGCGGCGGCTGCTGGCTTAGAAACTGGTTCTGGGAGGGAGGGGATGGTATCTTCAGCAGAAGACGTGTCAATCGTGACATGTTTAGTCACTGGCGGAGATTGGCGGAGCGTGTAGAAAATCGGAGAGCATTTGACAACCACAGACGGCTTTTTATGTCCGGGTAAATGAGCGATTGGGGGCTTGTTAATGCCACCTCGAGTGTAAATGTACACTGTGTTGATGACCTCGTAAGTTGGCTTTGCGTCCTTGTCCGCCTGATGCTGGTTCTGGTATTGCCCGCTTGGCGTGAGCAGAAGGCTTCCGTCAGGGGTAAACGTAAGTCGTCGGAAGAAAGACGTAAGAGTCTCGTTTGCGTATAGACTTGCGTTCTTGACTCCCAGGGCCCAGTTGGTGCTGAGGGTATGATGAGGCTTCGGCGATGTTTCCATTGGCATGACAGCAGGAAGGGGCAGCGAAGGTGCCGGCGAGACTGAGCGACGAGAGGAGAACGAAGACCGACGGCTGTGACTGATTACGCTCGGCGGGTTCATGGGGAGAGGGGCTGAAGTTGGCGTGCTTGGTGCTGAGGGAGCCGGCGATCCCACAGATGTAGAAGAGTCCACGGTTAACTGCGCTCGATGGCCGAATTCGGGTGGTGCGGGACTGCTCGAAGAGATTCGTCGAGGGGGTAGATCGGCCTTGATATGGCTTGCCAGCCGTGGCAGTTTATCGTCCTGGCTCAGGGTATATTGCCCGTCTTTGGTTCTGAGCGAGTAGATGTGGACGGATCGATCTGACGACTGGGTTGCGATGTACTCGTTCAACGGGTCCCAAGTAACGCCCTGGACATAATGGCTATGCTCAGCGATTTGTCTGACGAGGGTCCCTTTTGCGTTTCGTGTTAGCCCTCCGCACATCCAATACAGCAATATGATATGATTGCGAGTACACACCTGAGCTTGCGTTGTAGATCCTGGCAATATTATCCATGCTGCCGATTATAAAGTAGACAGCGTCTGGTGACCATGCCAGATCGTATATCTCCGCCCCGCTAGAGCGACACATGTGCTTTGCTCTCCATGATTCCTTATCATCTAGGCCTTCGGATCCAAAAGTGGTGGTCGGGATCTCGCTGGGAACCCACAGGATGACATTACCGTCATCACCGGCCGAGGCGAGCGTCTCTCCTTCATTTGACAGCCATTGTCAGCCCATGGAAAGCGATATAGCAGAGCAGAGCAGAGCGGTTGGTAAATGGTGTTCGGTACTTACCTTTGGGAGCCCATCGTACGACGTTGACAGCCTGGTTGTGCTTGGAGAGCGTCGACAGATACTCGACCTTGCGTTCGGGCCCATCGGCTTCGACCTTCCACACTCTAACATGATTGTCACCACCGGCCGTGGCTAGGCGGCCCTTGCCGTTGGGCTCGAAGTGGGCAGAGTAGATTGGGGCATTCTGGTCGTGCCAATTGATGATGAGCGGCGAGGCTTTCATCTTGACGCTTGCGTGTTAGGGCGGCTGTTGGACAAGCTGCATGGAGAGCGTCTCTCCAACAATGGCGGGTTCGTTCGATGATCTCGATGCAAGGCTGGACAGGACGATGAAGAAGAAGAAGAGGAAGGATTGAGGCCGTGGTGGATGGCGATGGTTCGGCCTGACCGGCAGCTGGTCGAGTTAACGCGTGGGGGAAGGGCGACAGAAGCTCGTGGTAGTTCAAAGTTAAAAGATGGAGAGGCTCGACCGCGACAAAGAAGCTGTGCTGTGGTGGTCCAGCTTTTTGCTCGGTGCGGCGTTGGAAATATTATGGCGGCACAGCACTAAAAGGCTCCAGTGGAGGCTAGGGGCATGGAAGGACCCGGCTGAAATCGAGGGGCGCCAGCGGCGTGATCAGCGCACTGGGTGGGCTAAGGGCCACGGGCTAGAGGCGGCTAACAGCCCGGAACTTTGAACCTCGAGGGGGGCTGGGCTGGGCTGCTGTATTGATGGTGAGGTGCCGTTTTCCTCGTTCCGCGTGCTGCTTACAGGCCCTGACGAGGTTACAGTAGTGTCACGGATGGACCGCCCTGTTGTTTCCATCCATCCTGCCCTGCAGCAGCCTCATGCGAGGACCGCAGAAAGAAAGACTCGAGGTGGATGCCACTGGACGCACCTGGCAGTCAATCAGACACTGCACAGCTGGCCCTACGCCTGCAAGGCAGAGAGGCGGCCAAGGCCCTGTTGTCAGAAAGCTGCCGGCCAGATGCGCTGTTGCCGAGCTGATTGGCCGTCCAACACGTAGCCTCGACGCCCTGCATGACACCGCAGAAATCCTCTGCAATCACCCGGGCAAAACGAACAACGCGATTGGCACTCGCCTGACCTGACTGAGGCGCTGGAATCATACCAGACCAGACGTCTGCTTGATGGACGGTTTTCAATTGATGCGTCTGTAGCCACACCCTGCAGAGCCGAGGACGACTGTGATTGGCATGACAAATGGGCGTTTCTCTTTCTTTTCTTTCTTTTTCTTTTTGCTGCTAATATTATTACATGATGCATTGGATGCTCTCAGACAAGACTTTTCATGCCCAGCTGACTGCATGTTCCCGTCTTCCCGTCCCGTCTTGTCTTTGCTTCCCTGCTCATGGAGCGTGATCTTGGCCAACGCGGATAGACGATGCCTGTCCGTATCGTATCGTAACCGAATGCCCGTCGATCATCGCTACGTATTCATGTTAGCTAATAGCCTTACCTATTAATGCTACGGTACGACTCCTAGCAAACCTGGTACGTATGTACATCATCACGCTGACATTGGTTGCTTGGGATTGAACACATTCACTGCTTTAGTTGGCAGGGCTCCTCCTCATGGCCCTGGAGGTGCAGATCGATCTCGATACGAATTGCTATTCTTCACGTTTTTAAAAAACCGTGGCCATTTGCTTCTCATAATTCTTTCATTCATATCATAGACTCCCATTACCTCTTTCTCTGAACTACCTATGCTGCCTGTATCTCAGATACACATTGCCTGATAAGTTGCGGCTGCTCAGGCATAGCCTCCCGCTCGCGTGAACTCTTTTCAAAAGATGGAGGCAACCTAGATCTGGGTTTCGGCCCCAGAGTGCTTTAAACCGTCAGGTGACGATTCTGGAGGGGTTATTATCGCCTGTTGGGAGCCGCGACACCACCCTTGATCCTTCAGCAAGTTCGTTCTTGGACCAAGGTTGGATGGGCGGCACAGCAAAGAGCCAATCATGACCAATGTGAAGATGTCCATCTCTGCAATCAACACAAGAGGTGGTCAGGTTATATACTGCAGGCATCCATTGCCCCCGCAAGACCGAGCAATCGCGCATACAAAGCCATTGATGGCATCTATTGACGCGGTGCTACCCTTGGGCTCAGCCATTCGTACAGTTCTCGTACAGGTTTTCCCATCCATTT